AAAAAAAAAAAAGTCTTGGATGAGGCGGCTGGGAATGTGGCTTAGTGGTAGAGTGCTTGCCTAGCATGAAGCCCTGGGTTCAGTTTCTCAGTACCACATAACCGGAAAAAGCAGAGTGCTGTGGCTCAAGTGGTAGAATACTAGCTTTGAGCAAAAAGAAGCTTAGGGAGAGTGTCCAGGCCCTGAGTTCAAGCCCCAGGACTGGCAAAAAAAAAAAGAGTCTTGGATGAGAGACTGCATACTATATTTTAGGGAGAATAGAAAAAGCATAGGAGACGGGTGCCGGTGACTCACGCCTGTAATCCTAGCTACTCAGGAGGCTGAGATCTGAGGATCACTGTTCAAAGCCAGCCCAGGCAGGAAAGTCCATGAGACTCTTATCTCCAATAAAGCACTAGAAAACTGGAAGTGGCACTGTGGCTCAAGCGGTAGAGCACAGGGACAGTGCCCAAGTCCAGAGTTCAAGCCCCACAACCAACCAAAAAAAAAAAGAAAAGAAAAAGCATAGGAAAAAATCCTCAATATTTAAAATCATGATAGCAACAAATGAATGCCATTTTGTCTTCTCCTGGCTCTCCTCTTCTTCTTTAGAGAGAGGTCTGGCCCAGTTTGAGGCTTACCATTCCATTACCATTACCATATTGTCTATTTTTTTAAAATTAAAAAGTCATGGGGTTTGAACTCAGGGCCTGGGCACTGGCCCTGAGCTTTTTCTTTCTTTCTTTCTTTCTTTTACTTTTTGCTCAAGGCTAGTGTTCTACTACTTTGAGCCATAGTTCCACTTCTGGTTATTCAGTGGTAATTGGAGATGAGTCTCATGGACTTTACTGCCGGGGCTGGCTTTGAACTGGATACTCAGCTCACAGCCTCCTAAGTATTTAGGGTTATAAACATGAGCTACTAAAGCTATAGTCTATTTTTTTTTAGTTAAAAATTTTAAAGCTGTTTTACAAAGGGAGTTTCAATTTTCTTTTTAATTATTAAGTTGAGAGAGAATTCACTTACTAAAAAAAAATTTACCCTTTAAAGCAAACAATTCACCAGTTTTTGATATAGTCACAAAGTTGTACAACCATCAATACTATCTGATTTTAGAATATTTCGTTTCCCCACAAAAGAAAGCTACCTCAAGCACCTTGACAAATTGACATAGATAACTTGTTAGTTGTATTAGAACCTTGGTGTGTTCTTCTTTTTTAAATTAATGAATTAATGATTTTTTTGGTGCCAGTCTTGGGGCTTGAATTCAAGGTTTCATATTCCATTTTTTGGTCAAGGCTGGTGCTCTACCACTTGAGTCACATTCCTACTTCCAGCTTTTTGTTGGTTAATTAGAGATAAGAGTCTCATAGACTTTTTCTTCTGGGAATTGGCTTTGAATTGAGATCCTCAGGTCAAAGCCTTCTGAATAGCTAATGCCCAGCTTGTGTGTGTGTGTGTGTGTGTGTGTGTGTGTGTGAATGTGTGTGTTAGCAATGGAAGGTAGAACCCTGTACATTTGGTAAGTGCTTTACCATTGAGCCACAACCCCAACTTAGAACCTTGTTTTTAGCAGCTTCCCACGAGACTCCAGGAATTTTTTTTTCTTTATGGATTTCCCTTCCCTTCCCTTTCCTTTCCTTTCTTTCCCTTCCCTTCCCTTTCCTTTCCTTCTCTTCCCTTCCCTTTCTTTCTCTCTCCTCCCCTCTCCTCCCCTCAAGGATTTTCCCATTTAGGCGATCCTCAGATCTCAGCCTCCTGTGTACTTAGGATTACAGGTGTGAGCCACTGCTGCCTGGCTGGATATTTCTTATAAGTGGAGTCATATAATGATGCTGTCTGATATAACTGTCTGCTTTGGCCCATCATGTTTTCTAGTTTGATCCATGTTGTAGCATGGACCACAGCCTTATTCCTTTTTATGATGAATAATATTCCATTGTATCTATGTCACATTTTGTTTATCTTTTATATATAGTGTTAATATAAACTAGCATTAATAAACTTAGGCTGTTTCTCCCTCCCTCCCTCCCTCCCTCCCTCCCTCTCTCCCTCCCTCCTTCTCTTCCTTCCTTTCTTTCCAATGCTGAGACTGAACTCAGGGTCCCATCCATGCTAGGCAAGCATTTTACCACTAAGCTATATCCCAGCCTGTTTCTACTTTTGCCTATTGTGATCAATGCTGCTGTGCATATTACTAATATCTCCTTGTGTTCTGCTGTCAAGTCTTTTGGGTACATACCTAGAAGCGGCATAATTGCTGGGCAATTATGGTGGCTATGTTTAACTTTCTAAGCAGTATCTTTTTTTTTTCTTGCACTTTTATTCTTCCAGAGCCATTGTTGGAGGACCTCAAATTCCAAGAAGAGTTTGAGTCTCAAGTGGATGTGGTAAGCTCGGAGGCTCCTATTCCTTCTACTAATGAATCAAAGGATGAGTGGTGGGAAGGGGTACGAGGAATCTTGCTCTTCTCCTGTTTCTTCTCCACTGGTAACCTGTTCATCACAAATTCAGTTCATGAGTGAAGGAAAAATTGATGTGTACTCCCTCGAGTAAGGAACTAACTGGTCTCTTATTTGATTTCCTTGTATTCCCCAACCTGGATCATTCTTATGGATGGGCATCTGAACAAATTGAACACACTTAATTTTTCATTACTAATTTCATGCCAGTACTAGGTCTTAAATTCAGGCCCTCAGGCTCTCACTCAGCTTCCTTGGTCATAACTGGTACTCTGCCACTTGAGCCTACATCTCCAGTTGGGCTTTTTGCTGTTTAATTGGAGACTAGCCCAAGTTAGCCTCAAACTTGTGATCTTTCTGCCTCAGCTCCCCAGTTTTGTTCTTTTTTGGTAATACTGATGTTTGAATACTCGTTGATTGAAGCACAAGCAGAACATTCCTATATTTGCATTTTCTCTCTCTCTCTCTTTTTTTTTTTGTCGATCATGGGGCTTGAACTCTGGGCCTGGGCACTGTCCCTCAGCTCTTCTGCTTGTGCTCAAGGCTATCATTTGAGCCACAGAGCCATTTCTGGCTTTTTCTGCTTATGTGGTGCTAAAGAATTGAACCCAGAGCCTCATGCATGCAAGGCAAGACTTTACCACTGAGCCACCTTCCCAACCCCGTATTTTTCATTTTCATTCTTTGTGTTTTTTAAATCTTTCAGCCCCACTCCCTTTCTTCTTCCTCACTGCTTTGTCAATTGATTTTTTTTTCGTGTGTATTTGTGCTGGTACTGAGGCTTGAACTCAGGGCCTAGGTACTGTCCTTGAGCTTTTTCACTAAATGCTAGTGCTCTACCACTTGAGCCATTCAGCTTTTTGGTAATTAATTGGAAATAAAAGTCTCACAGACTTTCCTGCCTATACTGGCTTCGAACTGCAATCCTCAAATCTCAGCTTCCTGAATAGCTAGGATTACAGGTACGAGCCTCTGTCCTTGGCTTCACCTACACTTTTTTCTTCTTGTCAATCATGGAGCTTGAACTCAGGACCTGGGCACTGTCCCTGCTCTACCACTTTGAGCCACTGCTCCAGGTTTTGTTTTTGTTTTTCAGGTTTTTCAAGTGATTAATTGGAGATTAGAGTCTCATGGACTTTCCTGCACAGGCTGGCTTTAAACCTTGATTCTTGTATCTCAGCCTCTTGAGTAGCTAGAATTATAGGCATGAACCACCAGCAACCAGCTTTCAGTAGACTTCTAAGCAAAGTCTTATCTTTGCGTCAGCATCCCAAGAGGGCTGCTTCATAAGGAAATTGCTCTTGTACTCCTACCCCCTTTCCAGCTCGTTATCTCCTTGCTCTTAATTGCTTCACTCAGGTGAAGATCCTACACATTCCCTTAATTCACTTTTCCCTTTGGGTGCAGATTGCTTGGAAATGTATTTTTACAGCCATGGTATAAGTGCAATATTTTGGGAAGATAGCAGCCTATTGTTTTCCTCTATGACACATTATGTTTCCACTCCCAGAGGCAGGAGAATCTATTGTCTCGGCTCTTCAAAAGCTTGAAACCTATCATTCAGTCATTCTCAGCTTTCTCTTTCCCATGCTGAACGTGTGTGGCTTTTCCTCTCCTCTCCCACGTCTGGCATGTGATGGTGGATGAGAAAATAGCTCATCTTAACAGCACTCCTTTTTTGCCTCTGTCTGCTCCCCTGTAGAAGTTTCTCTTTCGGTCTCAAATAACGCTGACAGGACTGTCCAGATTCACGTGGACAAAGGAGCATGATGCTGTCCTGGAACGCTTTGCGGAGGATCCCACAGAACCCATCCTCACCGTCTACATTGACCCCTATTTTGGGTTAAAGGTGGAAATGGGCATGCCTGTGCAGGTGGGTGAACTTTCTTCTAGGGAGTGAAGGTTCTGTCTATCTCTGTCACATTTGAATCTTTCTTTCTTCTCTACCCAAGTCCCCCAGAGTCCCCTGTATGTTGGGTATTTTACATGGAGGCTGAGGTACAGAGAAGGATGAGATAGAATTTAATGTTTTTTTTTTTTTTTTTTTGTCTGTTTTGGGGTTTGAACTCTGGGCCTGGGTGCTCAAGGCTAGTGCTCTACCTCTTGAGCCATAGGGCCGCTTCCAGTTTTCTGAGTGGTTTATTGGAGAAGAGTCTCCTGGACTTTCTTGCCTGGGCTGGCTTTGAACTGTGATCCTCAGATCTCAGCTTCCCGAGTAGCTAGGATTACAGGCATGAGCCACCAGTGCCCGGCTTAATTTAATGTTTAACTCAAGCCAATATGGAGGCTTGACTTGAGGGCCTCAAGTTCTGGTTCAGTTGTCTTGTTCACAACTGGTGCTCTACCACTGGAGCCACCCATCCAGCCTGGCTTTTTGCTGGTTAATTAGAAATAGAGTCTTGTAGATTTTTCTGTCCGAGTTTCAGTCTCCTGAGTAGCTAGGATATATGGGTGAACCACTGGCATGCAGCTATCATTTTACATTGGATAATTCTGTGAGTTAGTGGGGAAGCGAGACATATGAACAAGTATTTAGCATATATATTTACTATATTTTGCACACTATTTTATTATTATATTTTATTATGTATCCATATTATATATACACACATGTGTGTATGCATGTGTATGTGCATATGTGTATACTTTTTTTTTTGCCAGTCCTGGGGCTTGAACTCAGGGCTTGGGCATTATCCTTAAGCCTCTCTGTGCTCTACCACTTGACCCACAGTGCCACTTCTGACTTTTTCTGTTTATGTGCACAGAGGAACCAAACCCAGGGCTTTATGCATGCTAGGCAAGCACTCTACCACTAAGCCACATTCCCAGCTCTGTGTATACTTTTGTTGGTAGTATGTTGGGGATTGGCCCCAGCACCTCATTCAGGCTGAATATGTGCTATACTGCTGAGCAACACGCCTAGCCCTACAGTATACCTTGATGGATAGGCAAAGCTTTATAGGAGATTTAGGGGAGCCAGTAGAATTCTGGAAAGCTTGGTGGTGGAGGAGATGTTTGAGTTAGGGATGAAGTTGATAACAATGATTTTAGTAAGATTAGATGAATAATAATAGAGAATTTCATTTATTTGTGCCAGTCCTAGGACTTAGACTTAGGACCTGGGTGCAGTCCATTAGCTTTTTTTTTTTTTGCTCAATGCTAGACAGCATTTTGCCATCTAAGCCATAACTCTACTTCTAGCTTATTTTTGCTGATTCATTGGAGAGAAGAGTCTGATGGACTTTCCTGCCTGAACTGCTTTTGAACCATGCTCCTCAGACCTTAGCTAGGATTACAGATGAGCCAGTAGTATCTGGATAATTTATTATCTGTACAAAGAAGTTTTAGCTGGGCACCAGTGGCTCTTGTCTATAATCCAAGCTAATGTGGAGGTTGAGATCTGAGGAGCCCGCCTGAGCAGGAAAGTCTAGAAGACTCTTATCCCCTATTTAACCACCAGAAAATGAGAAGTAGAACTCTGGCTCAAGTGGCAGAACATCAGCCTTGAGTGAAAAAGTTAAGGGACAGCACTCAGGCCTTGAGCTCAAGCATCCGTACTGGTGCACACAAAAAAAGAGGGTTTTAGTTCCACAGTTGAGTTTTTAAGTGCACTACATCTTGATCAATGTCATCCATCATTCTCCCCCAAGTCCACTCATAACTTGTGTTTTCACATTTATACATCGAATACAATGACTGTACTCATCTACCCTTCCTGTCTCCATCCATCCACTCCTCCTCCACTTGACCCTCTCACCCTGACAACACATAGATAACACTTTATGTTCAAGGGAAAGAGAAAGAGTAGCAGGAAATTATCCGTAGAAGGTGAACTGGCGTCGACTTGTGTGCTATGCTAAGGAATTTGGCTTGTATCCCAGCCAGAACTATTGAAGGCTTCATTTGGCCTGGGTAGATAACTATGTCAGCAATGTGAAGATATGTGAGAGAAGGGTAGACCTCAAGTAGGGAGTCAGTGAAAGAAAGATGTGTTGTAAAATGTTAATGGTACGAACTGTATGGTGGGTGTACTGTGACTCATAAAAATTTTTCAACTTCTATGTATGCTTGAAATTAAACAAAGTAAATATTGGAGAAAGGTCATTGCTGCTTTACTTGGCATCATACAAACAAAAATGGAAATGATTATGAAGTTCTGCATGACCCTGTGTAACTATGACACAATTTTTGGGAAGCATTACAGATTAAACAAGGGCAAAACAGGCCATGACTCTGTGTGTGTGTGTGTGTGTGTGTGTGTGTGTGTGTGTGTGTGTATCTGCCAGTCCTGTAGCTTGAACTCAGAGCCTGGGTACTGTTCCTGAGCTTTTATTTTCCCCCTCAAGGCTAGCACTATATCATTTGAGCCACAGCTCCACTTCGAGCTTTTTGGTGGTTAATTACAGACAAGAGTCTCAGGGACTTTCTGGCCCCGGTTCACTTAGAAGTACAATCTTGAGAACTCAGCCTCCTGAGTAACTAGGATTACAGGCATGAGCCACTGACATCTTGCTTGGAAATCTTAATAGTATAAAGATATTTCATCAAAAGAGTCTTTGGGGTTAGAGGCATGGCTCAGTTGATAGAGTGTTAGCTAATGAATGAAAACTGCAGGTACCTAGTTTAAGTCTGAGTCTTGGAAATACAAAAAAGGAAAAAAAAGGATTTTTTGTTTGTTTGGTTTGAGATGGTGTTTTGCTATATTGCTCAGGCTGGCATTGAACTTGTGGGCTTAAGTGATCCTCCTTCCTGAGTAGCTGAGCATCGTTTTAATGCAGCTGCTATATAGTGTCCAAATGCCACATTCCCTATATTCTTTGTGTGAAGGATTTTAAAATGCATCCAGAAAAATGTGAAAAAATGAAGATAATAATGCAGAGGAAAAATAATGGAGATTTGTGAATGGAAAAATCTTTTGTAAACTATAGAAATTAAAGCAGTTATACTAGTTCATGAATATACATAAAAACAACAGTAAAGAAACGTAGAAAGTACAAAAATAGACATTATCAGCAATAGTACAGAAACAGAAAATACAGAAAATAGAAAATACAGAGAAAGATATGTAGGCATTTTCTGTAAAAACAGTATTTAAAAATCTTTGGGGAAGGATGGATTAGTCAATGAATAAAATTGGGAAACATATGGAACATGAAGTTTTTCAATTAAGGAGAATTCATTTAGCCTGCCGAAATTTATTCCAAATAGAATGTAGATTTACTTGTATTATTCTGGTTAAGATGGCCAATTGGAACTTTCTTTAAAAAATTATTACTCTCAGAGCCGAAGGTGTACAGAATGATTGCCTGGCAGGCAAGAGATTTGATACCCAGCATCAAAATAGCAAAAATGAAAAATCTCTTGAACACCTGACAAAATGAGCAATAAATAAATAAATAAATAAAGCCAGCAAAAATGAAACAATAAACAAGCAAAGAAAGAACCATAGTCAATTCTAATCAATTTTTTAGAATGCATGAAGTAAAATAAACGGGTGGAAGTGGAGATAGGGCACACCAGCTTTGAGTGAAAAATCCAAGCACACACATCATAAAAAACAAACAAGCAAACAAAATAAATGTGTGAAAGCTTAAGTACCAAGTCTAGGTACCCAAAATGTCCACTGGAAGGGTACAACACTAATTAGATGAAAGGGCACTTGGAACATTCACAAAATTGAGAAGGGGGGGGAGAAGGAGTGAGGGGGGAGGAGGGAGGGAGGAAAGAGAGTGTGCATGCCTGAGCGTTTTAACAAAGATTTGATACTGTCTTAAATTAGCCTTAGCCACCTGCCCCTTCCTGCACACATGCATTTTAGTTTAGAGAGAAGAGAATAAAATATAAAATTCCCAATCTTTTTCACTTGAACTTCAAGAAGCAAAATAAATGGTCTCTCACAGTGGGACATCAACAAGTCACCCACAGTATGCTAAAGCCAAAAGAGAATGAATTCATGGAGCTGCCCAAGCCCGAACAAAATGAGGAAAAATTGCATGGCAACCGCAAGCATATTATATCAGGGACAAAAAAAAAAAAAAGGAACAAAGCACATAAAGGCAGAGGGCATCACTGAACGAAGAGAAGGAAAGTCCTCAAAACAGCTCCCTGTTGTATAGTTACAACTCACTCCAAACAGAAATTCAAGTTTGAAAAAAAAGCAGAGATGAAATGATAAAAGGTGAGCATGAGATCAAAGGGAGAGTGCAGAATTTACAAAATGAAGAAAGCAGCAGGTTACACAACTAGAGGGTGAGAAATGGCCAAGAATGGAATAGCTATGGCTGAAAAGCCTTCAGCCGTGGAAGAGCCTGAGCTAATCACAGCACATGTAAGGAAAAGGCCGAAGACATTAATGCAATTAGAAGCTAAAAAACCTGAAAGCCAGGAATAGATGATCTAGTGGAATACAGAATGTCAACAAGTGATACAGAATATAAATGTAAAGATAAACTCCAAAGAATTTCCCTGAAATACAAAAGAAACTGGGAATAAAAGGATATATTGCATTTCACACAATTGTTTTAATTTCATTATTCATCTTAGTTATGCCACTAAAATTTGAGGATATGTACAATTTCAGCTGGTTTCATTGTTCTTTTTTTATAGATATATAACATATTTCTGCCATATTCACCCTCTTCACTTACCCTTCCCTCTTTGAGGATATTAATTCTTTGGGAACATCACCTATGTAATATTCTACCAAGAATATTGAACCATAATCTAATAATGAGGAAGCAAGCAGATAAATCCACTGGTATTTTGTTTGGGTTTTAGCAAGTATCGGAGTTTGAACTCAGGACCTTGAGGTCTCAATTGACTTTTTTTTTTTTTTTTTGCTGGTCGTGGGGCCTGAACTCTGGGCCTGGGCGC